GAAAGCAGGCCTCTCTCTTTAAGTGTATTACACACACAATATGTATGTATATTTCAGGGTGGTGGGAGGGAGGAATTAACTGAATATCACTGGTGATGGAGGAAACAGCCAATAACCGTGTGATTCCTGTTTATACCTCCTACCGGTTAGGATGGAAGACCTTGGCTTTGTTGGGGACACTGACTCCTGGCAGCCGACCTTATTTAACTGAGGAGATTTAAGGAAGTTCAGGGGCAGATCAGAGGTTGCTGACTTCCTTACTCACTGAACTAGAAGCCCCAGGCTGAGGGGCTGGGGGCAAGATAGGTATACCCTAAACAACCTTTGCAAGATCACCAACCCAGGGGTTTAAATGCAGACATAGCTCTCCCAAGAATTCACACTCGTGACCCCACTGGAGATCATATCAAACTCCTTGCATGAAACACATTTGCAGGATGGGTTTGAAATGAAGGAGATCTGTTCTGAGGTTTAGGCCCCAACTTCAGACAGTTTTGAAAACAGAAAGTTACACCCACTGCCACTGAGTCTATTCCCACCCATAAGGACCCTACAGGACAGAGAGGAACTGCCCCACAGGGTTTCCAAGGTTGTAAATCTTTACGGAAGCAGATTGCCACACCCTTCTCCCTCAGAGCTGCTGGTCGGTTCAAATTGCCAACCTTATGGGCAAACTGTAAAACAGGAAATTAGCTATTATAGTTCCTACCCCAAGACTATGTGCCCTCACGCTCTTTGTAGGTCTGCTGGCCACAGGCTATCCTAGCCTTTACCTCTACTTCGTTGGATGTTAAGTTCTTCTCTTGCCTGAAATGCAAAGACTGGGTGCTGCTGAGGGGAGTCAGAAACTCAGCAACTGAGCAGGTGGTGGTCATCTTTCTGCCCCAAATTATAAAGAAACAAGAGCACACCAAATTTCAGCTGCTATGGTGTTACCTTTTTTTCTCCAAGCCTCACAATTTGAATGCTGATCCTGGCAGCCTTTTTATTCCACATAAAGGTTTTCCCTTCAAGAATGGACACATCAGAAAATAGAGCACAATCTTTGTAATGGCTTTTCAGTTCATGCTTAAGGCTGTGCCAGTGGCTTTTAAGTCTGAAACAGGGTTTCAGAACCAAAAAGGTTCCCAGGGCAAGATAGAAAGCAGGGGGTTGCTCTTGGGTCAAAGGTTCTGAACCCAATCCTTTCACTCTGGTCCTAAATAGTTCTTAGACAAGTTGAGAGCATTGGGACGGCAGGTCCGTATCAGATTTCTTTTCTGGAAGGGTAACTTGGCTGAAAAAAAGGTCTGACCTCCTCAGACAGTGACAGAAGCTTGAATCCATCAAACAAGGCTCCGGCCAGTTGAGCAGAGCCCTTGGGGAAGGGGCTGTGCTAGCTCTGTTGAAAGACTCCAGATTATCATGTTCATCTGAGATTACCTTCTTATGGGAAAAGTGGTCACACTGACCAGGGCTCAGCCAAGTACAACAAGAGGAACAGAGTGCAGTGGAAGGAGAGGCCAGTTTAGCCTTAAAGATGGTAACTGTCATTTAGAACAGGATCACTGGGAATTCTGATGAAGACCCGCCTTGGGAGCAACATGCTTAAAATAAGAAAAAGAAAATAACATTTGGAGGTACATTCTTATGTAGAAGCTACTGTAACTTCAGAGTATCCCAAACGCATCATGGAGAAATCTCCAAACAAAGCTGCCAGGGCCTGTCTTTAAAAACTGGGCAGGTATGTCTTTGGATGGAGAGATCTTGGTGTAACCTTATCCTAAAGGAAGGAGTTTGGACTAGATCAGTGGTTTTCAAACTGTGTTCTGTGGAACCCTAGGGTTCCTTCAGAGCATATTCCAGAGGTCTCCCAAATATTGGGTTCAAAAATACTTCTAATTCATTTAAACACACTTTAATAAAATAAAACACAGCACATTCTCTTTTAAGCCCACTGAAAACCATCAATACATTAATCTGTGTGATCAACTTTTCTCTGCCCCTCGGTGCAAGTATCTTCACTCACTGTGAATGTTAGTAAGTGGGCCAGCTTGTTTATTTATTTAAAGTCCAGCCTGCATATATAGCGCTCATGTAACATTGTACAGGTGAACATCCTAGGACAGCTACCACTCCATGAAGTGGCAGTTGCTCTGTGGTGTGCAGAATTTAACTAAGGCATTTGACTGCTAACCAGAAGGCTGGCGGTTCAAACCCACCAGCCACTCCTCGGAAGGAAGACTGGGCAATCTACTTCCATAGAGATAGCACCTCAGAAACCCAAGGAGGGGTCGCTATGAGTTGGAACTGACTCGACAGCAGTGAGTTTGGTTTTCGGTTTTACTCTAAAACCTTGGGACTTTCTTGAGTACTTTAGGTATATTTGTCATCCAGATCACACCTCAGCATTTGTGCTGAGTGGGGACTGGCCAGACCAGAAAGATCACCACTTAGCCTCAGGAGGCATGATTTAACCAATCACGATCAGGCAATGAAGCCTCAATCTTGATTACCTAATGATTGAGGCCAGTAAAAGCTTTCTAATTGGGGACAGAAGGGTGTCCTCTTTGGGCTATGGAAGCAGTGCCGGATTTCCCAAAAAGCAAGGAAAGCAGGGGCTTACTTGTGCTTACTTACTAATCTTTAGTGAGCAGTCTCACATGCTTTTCACTACGATGTATGCTGAGACCTACTGACATCTGAGGCTCTCTACTATGCCTTGTATTTTCAAATTTGTGTTTACGTTTAGATTATTTTTTTATTTTAAATTTGAACTTATGATTTGATTTGTAAAAAGAGTTCTGCTAAAGAACAAGTTTGGAAACCACTATCTTGGATGAAATTCTGGCTGTATATGTTTAAGAAAACATAATTATCTAAACCTTAGGAAGAATTGTGGCAAAATCCTATGCCAGTCTTGAGTGGTATTATTTTTCTGGTCCCTTGGCAGTTAGCAGCTTGAGTAATGCAGGCTGTTCTAGAAGGGCTCCTAGAAATGTTACTTTAGACTCAAACTGCATGACAGCCAACAGATGCTAGAGTGCCTTAAAGGAAACGGTCAACTCTGGTGGTGAGTGAATGTGTTCCTTAAGGATTTAAGCTAGCTCTGAAATGTAGATCTTATCACTACTGAGTTATTCTATGTGTTGACCGATCTAGCTATCACTTTTCATCTTGACAGAGTACACCTGTGGGGAAGGGTAAGAAGGGATGATGATGGGCCCAGGCTCCTTCCTGATACCTTCTGCAAGAAGAGAAAAGCAGTAAGGAAAGGGACCTGTGGACCTAATTAAATTGGGCACAGAGGATCGACCTCACATAGGTTTGGGCTAAGTTCCTCCAAATGGACAGGCCACAGCATGCAGGGAGGGGAGTGAAAACAAGGAAAGGAAGATCTAACAAGATAATGTGGGATATCACAGGTTCACTGGAAAACTTGGTGACCCTTTTAGGTGAATCTTAATCTCTACTACTTAACACATGGGGTCGATGCTTGCCTTGTCATAACATATCCCAGGCTTTTTGCTGATTGGATGTTCAGTGGTCCAAATGTTTGCATCTCATTTGGTGGCCTGGCCTCAAGTATTAGATGAGGCACAAAGCCAAGAACATCTACATCTTTATCTTCATTCTTCTCTATCCCATCTCTTCACTTGAAGGATATCACTCAAGTGACTATAAGGCTATAACTTCTAGGCACTGAACGGCCTGGAAAAAGAGACCTACTTCTATGCTTGATCCCTTACTCCCAACCACATGAACTACAGGCCTACAGAACCTTATGAATTCAACTGATACCAGGCACACACCATGAGGTTAGCCCACTGTTTTCTAGAATGATCAGATAGCAGCAGCTGGCCAGACACCTAGCTGCCCCTTAGTGGTTCTTCTTTAGTTTCACAGACAGCCTGCCTGCATGTACTCCACTCGCTCCAACCTGCAACACCAGGATAAGGAAGGAATAAGGGGTCACTGCAAAATTAGGTTACTGCCTTTCTTCACTCCACATGAATGCTGAACCTGTAGCCTCATGCTCACTATAAAGAGAAGTTTCCCCACACAGAGATGGGACCAAGATTCATGGTAGCTTGAGAAAGCAGAAATCAGTCACTACATGCCTGAAGCTGGAGTGAAGCCTGAAAGCTGGCCCAGTGGTTTCAGGGCCCTGAAACAACATGGCTTCCAAGTCCTCAGCGCCAGGGATGACTCAGGTACTACTGGACTTCCTTTGCACCCAACTGTGTTGAATCCAAACTCATAAGGTTCTTCTGGTGGATCGTGAGTGTGGCTGCATTATACTCTACAACTCCTCCGTCAAGAGCAGCAATCACCAGCCACCCGAACTTCATTCACCAAGGTCCCCTCACGCCGCCTCATGAAAGGATGCAAGAGCCTTTCAACCCTGCCCTGAAAGACCGTCCTTTGGTAAACAAGGGACCTGGGATCACCGTGGAAAATCTGTTTGTGCCCCAAGGGCCTTGTGCTTCACCCACAGATTACAGAGAGGACTTTGCGGGGTGTGTTCTCATGTGCTCTGTACAGCTTGGGCAGGAGAGGGGGCCCACGGAGAGCTAAACAAAATGGGGTGGCATGTGAGGGAGCAGGCTAGGGGCTTGCTCAGTGCAGTTCTGTGATGGCTCCTTGTGGTACAATCTCCCTCATTCCCAGTTATTTTCTCCTTCAGAAAATGAGGGGTTAGGAAAGGATGAGGAAGAAAGGGAGGAGACTGCCCAGTGCTTGCCGTCAACAGATGAAATGGACTCAGATTTCATTCTACACGTAAATGGCAAGCCCGAGGCTGGACTGAGGACCAGGTCTGGGCTTTAGGGCAGCCCAAACAGAGGCATTTTTTTTTCTTTCCTTTGCTAAACAGGAAGTCCCAAATCTCAGTAATGAAGGGGCCCAGCGAATCCTGCTGGAATAGGAGCTGAAGTCCAGATGAGGTGACGCAAGGCTAGCCTACCATGGGGGCTTTCCTCCAGGAACAGACCTCCTCACAAAGGAAACCAAGACAGTACCTGCTTCACCACGCAGCGCCTTTTCCACAGCGACCCCTCTTTCCTCCAGCTGCCTCTGCTTCTCCTCTACCTGCTCCAGCTGCCGTTGGATAATCTACCACAAAACAAAGCACAGGATAAGCACCCAACTCCCTTATCTCCTAGCTTTCAAGAGGAAATTGGAACTGCACAAACAAAGAAGGAGAAAAACAAATTGGCACAACAAATTGGGAAGGGCTCTCATTATGGGCATTATCCTCAGAGGGCAGCCTGAAGACCACCTGCTTCTGAAACCCTGGCTCACAGGGCCTGGATCACTGTGCAGACTTCTGGGTCCCTGTGAGTCAGCACCTTGGGGGCTGGATGCACTTTAAAGTGGTGGCCAGCCCCTTTCTGCAGCAGTTAAAAGAAACCAAGTGAATATAAACTCCTGCAGGAAGGATGTAAGTACTATAACCTAAGGCTCTTCTGAGAGTGAGATTGCTAAACCAGAAGGGGTTCTTGGAAAGCCCTGCAGAAATCCCACCTCTATCGGTTAATTTGTTTTTTGAAAAATCTGCAATGGTTTACAACTGGTAAGGCCTGAAGACATACAGGCCGATGACTGGGAGGACAGCTCTGACCTCTTCCCATAAAATTCCAGGCCCTTCAGAGGCTGACAGACTCTTGTTAACAGTTCTTACAAGTGAATTAGCTGATTTTACAATGATTACTGTACACCAGACCATGGAAAACAGCACCTACAGCAATTAGTTTTAAATTGCTGAATGATCTCTCACAGCTGGAGATGGAAACTGCTCATTGTTCCCCTCCCCCCAACCAATTTACCATATCTGCCATACCCTAGATAAGCCTAGACTAAGGAATTTAGGCTAGAAACTGATAGGCCAGCTATTCTTTCTTTTGCTTTTTCTAACCAACAACCACAAAAATGAGGTCTCTGTAGTTGCATTAAGTTTGGGGCTTAAGAATCCAGGGCTGTTATTTCATGTACCAAAAAACAAACCAAACTCACTGCCATTGATTCAGATCTGACTCATATTGACCCCTCTTTGGGTTTCCGAGGTGGTATCATTACGGAAGCAGACTGCCCAATCTTCCTTCTAAGGAGTGTCTGGTGGGTCTGAACCGCCAACCTTCTGGTTAGCAGTCAAATGCCTTAGGTACTACGCCACCAGAGTTACTTCAAACAGGGCCGCCCTGCTACCTCTGCTCTGGCTTCCTCCCCCTCCCTTGTCATGCTGAGAATGAAATGGGTGGACCAGAAGATGCTGCCACAGGACTTTACCGGGACGGCAAGTGGCACAGGTGTACTGCGCACGACCACCTGTGGTCTCACCTGGGCTCGGTGTAGCCGCTTAAGTTCCTCCTGCTTTGCCTGTCTCCGAGCTGCCTTCTGCACACGCCGGGTCAGCTTGGCATTCAGCTCCTCCTCAGTGTAGGTTCTTGGCTGGAGAGAACAAGAGGCATTTTCTCAGTCAGGGGCATGGACAGGACTCTTCCCCGAGGTAGGAGCTGGTGCCTGACAAACACGTTGCCCCTCCACAGAACACAGCAGGGCTGAGGGTGGTGCTGGCAGACTTGTGGCATGAGGGGTTTGTGCTCTGCCCGGAAGTCAGCTCAGCCAGAGGGTTCACTAGCACGTGTCACTGCTGCAGCCCCAAAGCCACAGGGTTCACCTAAAGATCTACAAGACAAGACGTTTTCCCTTCATGACAAGGACAGGAGGCTGAGTGGGGACTGACTGTTAGTAAGTTAAAACAACAACTGACACCCACATGCCCTTTTCTCTTTGAGATGACCTATTTCCTGTATAAGGATGTCTGCTCTTTTGAAGGCTTTGTGGGGGTAAAAAGTATTGGTAAATGTATCCCCAAGCCATCTGCTCCTAGGAGGCTTACAGGGTCTTTATTTTGTCTCATTTGGTATCAAAAGCCACTTTCTTCAGACGAGTGATACTTTTAAGGTTCTTTTAAAGGAGTGTTTCTCTGCTATTCATAAGATTTAAAGGAGTGACATCTGAAGTAGGGAAAATAGGGATGTTTTCACTTTAAGTCTGGATGACCCCAAACTTACTAATTAAGTATAAAGAAAAAAACGATGGAGTGAACCTGGACTGACCCTGGGCTCTACATACAGGCAACAGTGAGGTGGGGATGGTGGCAACATTGGGAGCAAGGGAGCTATTGTGGTGGATGAAAAAACTGAAGAGGCAATGGACCAAAACCAGTGCAGTCACACTGAAGAACTACCAAAGGCCATATCACAACAGAAGGCAGGCTGTCAGATGCTTTCAATAAACACTGGCAACCAGAGGCAAGTGCTGAGGGCTTCCCTTTATTCAAAATACCCTCCTTATTGCCTCTAAGGACTTTATAGACTTTAATATAACTTCCAAATATAAGTCAGAAGTCTATTCTCATAATCTTTATTCTAACAGCTGGAGTGATGGCAGAGAGTCCACTGATAGGCAGCCCTTACAGATCACAGAGGGTGTGTTTTGGGGCCCTAAGCATTTTACCTGGAAGCCAAGGCCTGTGACCACCCATCCCTGCAGTTCCCCATGCCACAGGCCCTGGAGCAAAACTACCACATGCACTCCAGCCAGCCGAAGAGCAGGCTGTCTCATTTCCTCTCTCTCATAACACATCTGAAGAAAGTCCTGCTGCCAGTGTTTGCTACAGCTCCATGCATGGAGGAACACAGTTAGTGGGGATGTGGCCGGAGGGCTGGGGCCGGGCCAGGGCTGCTCTGGGCAGTTAATCACAGACACGCATGCAACAAGACCAGCCAATGGGAATGAGACACTACCTTTGATGCATATGATCTCCTGAATGCCAAGGCGTGTGGTACATAAATCGACTTTTAAGGGGATGGCAACAGAAAACAAAACAGAATAGCAACAATAATAATAATTAAAAAATTAAAAATAGAACACACAGAAATGGAGCAAAATCAGTTAGAAGTTTAAAACAAGCACACAAGACTAAAACACATGATTACTTTTTACAGTGTCACATAGGCCTGCATAAGGGATCGATTTGGGTGTAGAGACCCCGGCAGCAGCGTCTTAGGAGCTCTTGTTTCGAGGAAGGTTCCATCTTGTACTTATTGAGTAGATAGTTTTTTCCTCACTCTCCCCAAATCTCTTTTCTCAACCTGACTTGTGTCCAAGTGAAGGCTGTATAAATAGATGGTAATAGATGCTATTTCTCCCTTACTAACCCATAGCAGTTACCAGTTGCCATGGAGTTGATTCTGACTCATGGTGACCCCACGCATCAGAGTAGAACCGTGCTCCATAGGGTTTTCAATGGCTGATTTTTCAGAAGTCAATCACCAGAACTTTCTTTTGAGGCATCTATGGGTAGACTCAGGGCTACTCATAAAGTTTTCCAGTAATATATCACACAGTGTTTCACTGATACTCATAAGGTTTTCACTGGCCAATTCTTTGAGAGGTGGATGGCCCCTTGCTTCTTTTGAGCCGGTCTTAGTCTGGAAAGCTCCACTGAAACCTGTCCACCATGGGTGACCCTGCTGGTATTTGAAATATGGGTAGCATAGCCTCCTGCCTCACAGCAACATGATGTGGTGTTGGCAAAAAATACTGAAAGTACCATGGACTGCCAGAAGAATGAACAAATCTGTCCTGCACAAAGTGCAGCTGAAATGCTCCTTGAAGTGAGAATGGCCAGACTTCATCTCACCTACTTTGGTCATGTTGTCAGAAGAGACCATTCCCTACAGACGGATGTCATGCTTGGTAAAGTGGAGGGTCAACAAAAGAGGGGAAGGCCCTCAATAAGATGCATTGACACAGTGGCCATAGCAGTGGGCTCAGGTACAGCAAGGATTGTGAGGCTGGCACAGGACCGGGCAGTGTTTCCTTCTGTTGTACATAGGGTCACTATGAGTTGGAGCTAACTTGACAGCACCTAAGGACAACAACAACATGGGTGGACTTGAACTGCCAACTTTTTGGTTAGCAACCAAGCACATTAACCATTTGTATCACCCAGGGCCTCCTTAGAAACCTGTAACACAATGTACTGCTGTTGAGTCGGATCTGACTCATAGTGATCCCTCCTTGGGTTTCCTAGGTGCTATCACTATGGAAGTGGATCGCCCAACCTTCCTTCCAAGGAGTGGCTGGTGGGTTTGAACCGCCATCCTTCTGGTTAGCAGTCAAATGCATTAGGCACTATGCCACCAGAGCGCCTTAGAAACCTGTATGTATGTGAAATTTAAACTATTTCTTCTGCCTGGATGTCACATGGCATTGGGATGAAGACAATTTTTGGGAGATTCCTGATGCCAGAGCCACAGACACAGAGCAACGCTGAATGTCAAATCTAATGTTCTGTTCCAAAAATGCTGTCTCCTAGCAGGCTCCTGACAGGGCCAGATGGGTTCATACTCATCTCCCTAGAACAAAGGACAAGTGGCCATTTCTTGATTTTACATGGTAAATCCCAAACCAAACCCACTGCCATGAATGGATTCTGACTCAGTAACTCTAAAGGACAGAGTAGATATGCCCCATAGGGTTTCCAAGGCTGTACATCTTTACAGAAGCAGACTGCCACATCTTTCTCCCATGGAGTGGCTGGTGGGTTCAAACCATTGAGTTTTTGATAAGCAGTCAAGTACTTTAACCACTGCACCTCCAGGGCTCCTATTCACGGTGAAAGGGAAGTGAAATAGCAAAAATAACTGTTTTAGGCAGTAATTTTGACCTCTACTCTCTTCACTATACCTTGAGCAGAGCTGCTCAGAGAGCTGAGGTCAGTGATGTTTGCTCCTCTGGTCTTCTCACCACCCACATCTGGGGGGTAGCAACAAGCTATTGAGTGTCTAAAAGGCTAAGGGAGAAAGGGAGGGAGGTGACATGAGGTCTGGATATGCCTCAGAATGGGCAGACCCTGAGAGCTTCAGGATGGACTGCAAGCTCTTGCTGCTCTTGTTCCTTCTCTGTCTATCAGGGGACCTCAAGAGCATACTGGTCTAGAGAAGAATGAGTGTGCCTTCTAGTAGCAACACTGAACTTTGAGTGTGGTTTGGTTTGAGGGCCACCATGAGGGTCACCGCCATGAAGACAGTCTCCTGTGCTGTGAAACTGAGACTAGAAGCCTACTGAAGAGCAAGCGCACAGCTCTCTGATGGTTCAGTGGTCAAGAAACAGCCACATTAGTTGTATTTAAAATTAGACTGAGGCAAAGAAAAGAGATATATGCGAGTCATCTCTTGTTAGAACTACTAGGCCTTTTTTTTTTTAATTATCTTAATTTTCTAAAATAAATGTTTTCATTGTTTTAAAAACTGTTTTGTTTTTCAACAAAACACAGGTGCTTACTTCACATGCATGGATGCCTCCCCCATCTGTACAGTGGGTTCTGGCTACAGGGGTCTGGACCACTTTTCGCTTGAAGTCAATTCAACTCCCACTCTCATGTTAGGTATCCTCTACCCGCCATGTACTTTATCCCCCAAAATTCCAAAGCAACAGACAAGTTTAAAGAGGAGGACAATGGATGGCCACATGCCTTTCACCAAATCAGCTTGCTGTTATGTGCCACTGAGTCAACTGCAAATCACAGCAACCCTACAGGACAAAGCAGAACTGCCCCCATAGGGCTTCCAAGGCTGTAATCTTCATGGGAGCAGATCACCAGGTCTTTTTTTCTGAAGAACTGCTGGTGAGTTTGAACCACTGATCTTTCAGTTAGCAGCCGAGCACTTAACACTGCGCCACCAGGGCTCCTTATCAAATCACCTGTATTTGCCAAATTTGCCACACATTTAATCCAGTTCTCTTTATATGTCATCTTTTTTTCTCTTTCTGAATCAATAATATCTTTCACTCTAACTATTTTAGCATGTACATCTTAAGAACAAGGACGTTTTCTGGTATAACTACAGTACCATTATAGCTTACGAGGAATTTAATTGTTGATGTGATAATATTATCCTTGCTTACACAGGCCATACTAACATTTCCTTAATTTCTCCCAACATGTCCTTTCTAGTTGTTTTTGTTTTCCTGCTTTAGGTTTTGTGCCTTGGAGGTAGAGCGTGCCCTATTCTCACTCAGTAGGACTACAACATCACAGCAGGAGTTGGGTTGGTCCTATCCTAGGCTTGGCTTTTTCTTTGGCATTTTGTGGTAGTTAAGTTTGTGTGTCAACTTGCCTGGGCCTGGTTGAGTGGCTGGGTGGCTGGATGTAGTATTATTCCCCATGATGAGACTGGTAATCAACTCCATGGTGGACTCTACTGTGAGCAGCTGAGTTCCTGCCTTAGCGATGTGGTCTGCTTCCTGTATATAAGGAGAAGCCTTGGGAAATGGTCTCTAGCTTATGGCATGCTTGAACCCTGCATGTAGCCGTGTTGTTGTTCAGTAGCCTGCCATCCTCTGCCAACCTTGGGACTTTCAGTGGACTTGAATTAATGGCCTGCTGTGTTTTGGTAACATCGGGACTGTGCCTTTTTATTTGTCAACCTTGGGCTTGTCAGCCTCAGCAGCCAGCAGCTGTCTGAGTGAAGGAAAGCCTCTAGCTCCAGTGGGCCAGGAGCAGGAGGCAGAGCTGAAGCCCAAGGTTAAGGAGTTTTCACCCAGCCCCTAGAGCCTGGCACTTTGAACTCAGACTTAAAGCCTCCAGACTGTAAGAGAATAAACACCTGTCTGTTCAAGCATCCCATTTCTGGTATATTCTTGTCAAAGCGGCACTAGGTAACCAGAACACATTTCCTACGTGACCTTTACTTTTGGGGCATAGCTGGAACACAAGGTCTCTGGGCCACTCTGGTTCTAGGATTCTTTGGTGGGGGCCCATGAGCTATCGTTCATGCAGACACTGGGAAAACAGAACTTTTGCACTTCACGCCTTAGGTCCTGGAGAGGCTGGGTCAGTGAGTGGTGTTGCTCTCACGTGATGGCCTTGGCATAGCTGTCCTGCACAGTCTGCCACTCAGCATTTGGCACAGCATCTCATTAAATGAATGGAGAAGCAGCAGACAGATCTGGCCACACCAGCAATTGCACATGGAAAGTTTGACCAACATGACACAAACTAGGTAAATGTATGCATGACTGACACTGAGGCAAAGCAAACCTTGCATCACATTCTCCTTCCTTCACACACCCCCTAGGACACCCTCAGGACCCACTAGCCAGTCCTCAGTGCCATGATATATTCCGAGACTCACATATACATCCAGAAGCCATCCTCAGTTTATACGAATGCTACTGCTCGGGAAAGCTCAATAGGGAAAACTTGATTAGTAGCACATGAACGCAGGCCCCATTGAGCCAGTACGTGGAATCCCAAACTGGAACTTGCTGTGGCCTGGCTATGATACAGAGACATTGGGCTCTGAGATGGCCAGGGTGGGGCAGAAAGGGAGGTGTGACTTTCTCTGTGCCCTTCTAGGAGTGTGGGTAGATAGAGCTGGCATGGCCAAAGGAGATACACAAATCAAGAATGAGATGAGAAAAAAAATGACTAGCTTTTCCCCTACTTTGCCAAGTTGCTAAAAGAGGAACTGGATCAGACTAGGAAGAGTGAACAGGAAATAAGCTATAGAAGCCGTTACTGAACTGCATATGCAGGGCTCAGGCCCATCACAGCCCTTCCAGCTGGTTTATCGGCCAACAGTTTAAGTCCTGGAAGCCAGCAGAGAGGGTAGACTCACCATCGAGCCCTGAGATGGTACATGATGTTTGGGAAAAAACTTTCATTCAACAAAGCAGGGTAAAAGGAGGCTGGACTATCACCTTGGACAGGAGGGTAAGCACACTACCCATCTTCCTCCAATGTGGCTAGATCTAGACAAAACTACAAAAGCCCCTAAAATCAAAAGACTGGACACCCGAAGGAGGCTAGTAATGAAGGAATGCCACACTGAGATAGTCACTTCCCAGAAGAGCTGAGCGGCTACATCTTTTCCTTGAGGAACCCTGGAGGCAGTGAAGGAGGCTAAGTCAGACCACCATCATGTTCAACTTAGCAAAGTCCCGCTCAGTCTCCTGGGTCAGTGTCTTTGATAGTAGAAAATCCTATTTAATCAACAAATACACAAAGTTGGCAGGATGACCAAAAGATTCCTCAGAGACCCAGCCTTGCAGCATGACTTTTCCATCTACTGCCCCAACCCCGTGACCCCATCCCAGCCTCCACCACACCCTGGAGCAAGAGCGGCCCTTCTCCAGTCACACTGTGTGGTGGCGGAGGGTGGAGGTGGATGCTATTTCCACATGGGATTTCCAAAGGGGGCTCTTAAGCTGGGAAAAAAAGAAAGAGTGGATGATGCCAGGCTGCTTCCTACAGCTGTAGTGAGTCTCTGAGCATGGACTGTCGTCTCTGGCCTTCTTCACAAGAGTGGCAAAAGCAACTCTCATCATAGAGGCAAATTTAAGAAGTCCATTAAAAAAGCTGCTCATTAAAAAAGCCAAGAGAAGGGTCCTCTTTCTACCCTTACTTGGACCACTGGACTGGACTCCTGATTCAGACATCTGCTGGGAGGCCAGAAGGTGGTGCTCACATTCAAGGCCTGGCTTCAGATTGCTTTTCTTGTCCTCTCTTGTCAAGGATCAGCACTCCACAGAGGATGACAGTCAAGACCCTTGAGCCTCCTGAAGCCCCACCACTGACTGAACCCGTACCTCTCGCCTGGACTTCTGGGAGGACCTCTCAAGGATGTCGTCACTGGAGAGGTCGGAGTCCTCGGAGAAGCTCAGCTGGCGCCGGAGCTGCAGCTCTGTGGAGTGGGACAAGAGGCAGAGTGAGCACAGTGCCGGCCGCAGCACGGCCGTCCCACCCCACTTCTACGGTCACACAAGGAGAGTGCCAGAGGCCTGAGTTCTTTTCTTCTCCTTTTTTATCGTGGTATAAGAAACATAAAATTTGCCATTTTAACCAATTGTAAGCATACAATTCAATGGCATAAAGTCACCTTGTTTTGCAACCATTACCACTATTTATCGCCAAACCATCTCCATTACCCCAACAGAAACTGTACCCATTAAGCAGTAGCTCCCCACTCCCTTCTCCTCCCACCCCTAGTTGCTTCTAATCTGCATTCTGTTTCTCTGCATTTGCCTACTCTAGATCTAATTTCATGTGAGTAGGATCACGTGACATTTGCTTTTTTGTCTGGCTTATTTCACTTAAGGTTCACCCACGTCATAGAATGTATCAGAATTTCATAGTTTATTTTTAGTTAAACTAAAAATTCTTATTCTTCTCCTACATTGAGGAGCGACTGGGCATGGATGTGGACGTTTGTCCAGGCAGGGGCAGAGCCAACACTCAGTGGATGTTGTTCCTGACATCCTGCTCGGTACTTTGTGGCAGCACTGTCCTCTGCCTTGCAAAACTCAGGCCCACCTTTGGGATAAGATGACTTTCGGACAGGTACAAACCCCAAAGTCCACCTTCACCAGTTTCAAGCTGGTGTTATAAAATGAGAATATACTCTATGAGGGGGCAGTGGTGGCTCAGCAGTAGGATTCTTGGCCTTGCACACGGGGGACCTGGGTTTGATTCCTGACCAGTGCACCTCACACACGGCCACCACCCATTTGGCAGTGGAGACTAGTATGTCGCTGTGATGCTCAACAGGTTTCAGCAGAGCTTCCAGACTCAGAGACTAGGAAGAAAGGCACGGCAATGGACTTCTGAACATCAGCCAGTGAAAACCCCATAGACAGTCCCTGGTAGTGGATTAGGATAAAGGAATATTCTCTTTCTCTAGAAAGTGTGGAATGAAGTCATTTTGTTACCATGAGGGAAGCTAGAGGGAAAGTGAAGAAGAACAAAAACCCTGTGGATTACTACAGTGTGATCCACAACTGATTGCGGGGTGGCACAGGAAAGGGCAGTGTTTTCTTCTGTTGTGCATGAGGTCACCATGAGTCACGCGCTGGCTCGACAGCAACAACAGCATATGCTCTGTGAACCCAGAGTTCAGTTCCCATCTCTCAACACTGCCAGCATTACTCCTATGAACCCTTGGGTGAGCAGCATATGAAAGAGAATCTTTCAAGAACCAAATGACTAAAGCAAGCATATCTTACGCTTTGTGCCATGGGGGTCTTTTGGCTAGCAACATACCTGCTCTCATGATAGGAGACATCTTGTGCTTCCCAGAGTCTACAGTGGCACCGCTGGAAGGCGTGCTGCAGCTGGACTTGTCATCATTCTTCTTCTTTTTGTCCTTCTTGTAGCCGGAGAAGACGGACTTCCACAAGGACTTGGGTTTGGCGGTGGCTTCCTCCAGCAGGCTTGGGCTGGGTTTCTCTGGGGGCCGGCCCTCGCCTTTGGACTTCTTCTCCTTCTTGTGTTTGCGGGGGGAGAAGAGTGACGACCTCTTCTTGCTCTTTCCACTGGAGCCCTCGGATGAGGTCACCGAACCATCTGGGCCGCCCGAGTCAGATGGAGGGGACAGGACCTCCTCACTGGTGGCTTCATGCTTCAGGATGGGCTCCTCAGAGCCCTTGAGGACTGGGTGTTTTGGGGATTCAGACACGAGATCTTTGCCCTTGGAGGGTATGGAGGATGTTTTGCGGGAAGGGCCTCCAGGGAGCCTGGAGGCTGCAGTCACCATCTCCATTTCCTTCATCTTATTCAGCTGCTTGGCCATGGCATCTCTCAATGCCTGGCTCTTCACAGACTTCTCCCTGGCTCGCATGCGCTCTTCGGCTAGCTCCTTGGCTTCAGGGGAGACTAAGGGCAGCCCTCTTTTCTGCAGTTGGACCCCACCCTCCAGAGTTGGTAACCTACCATTCTCCTTAGCTAGCGGCTTCTCAGAGCGGGACCAGCAGGAGGGCGGTGTGAAGAACTTCTCCTGCAGACTCGAGTCTTCTGTCTTGTCATCATAGGTATCCTCTACATCATCAGCAAAGGGGATCTCATCCACACTCTCCACAAATGACTTCCGCACCTCCTCTCTGGGGGACTGGGCAGGCTCTCGGGGGGGCCGCATAAACGTGGCAGGTGGGGGAGGTGGGATAACTGAGGCCTTGGGCTCAGCTTCCCTGTGCTCATAAGTCTGATAGGGCTTCCTCTGAAGGGTTGCGGGCTCCTCATCTTGGGGAGGGGGCGGGGGTGGACTTGAGGGTGGGGTGAGCATGGTGGAGTCTGAGGTGTTGAAGCTCTGGCTGCCCAATGTCTTCATGTTGGAGGAGCTCCCGTGGAGGCCCAGGCCAGAGCTGCTGGACAGGTCTTTCCGCTCCTCATGGGAGCTCTTCAGCTCTCTGTCAGATGGGGACTTAGGAGTCAGCAGTGAGGGCTGATCACCATCTGGTTTGGGCAGGCCCAGCCGTTTAGGAATAGGTGGTGGTTTTAGAAGGTGGAATCCCTCATCCTGAGGGGATTTCTCAACCGAATAGGTTTTTAGGGTTACCGGCTTAAGGACAGGTAAGGGGAAGCTGGGCTCAGGCCCCTTGCTCCGATCTACAGGAGTGAGTCCAAGGCTGCGGCGGATTTCGGCGCTCTTCATCCAGAACTCTTCCACTAGGTCGTTCCGCTTCAGGGCCTCATCCACGGCAAGAGGGCTGCCCAGTTTGTCCTTGGTGTCAGCTTGGCTTTCCACAGGGACAGAGGCCAGAGGGGTAGATGTTTTGGCTGGAACAGGTTGGAAGCGTATGGGAGACTCTGTGGGGGAAGGGATGGTGGACTCGGAGGAAGGCTGAGGCTGGGAGCAAATGGGGAGATGGGTGGAGAGGGTAGAGGAGGTGGCTGATGGAGACACCTGCTGAGAAACCACTGGGGAGGCTGGTGTCCTGGCTTCCGGCAGCGCCACTGGCTGGGAACAGATGGGAGAGGGCAAGACTGTCTGCCCCGTGGGGACTTCAGCTCTGGGCTTCTCTTTAGGGAGCAGAGGCTCAGGGAAAAGGCACTGCTCTGGGGATTTCACTTTGTTGGCAACAGAGGCAAATGGGCTTCGGGCACCCTATAGAAAGGGAAGGTAAACAGAAGCTGCTTAGAAGGCAAGAGTTTCAATGGATAGCCAAAGCCCCTTGGGGAACTTTATTGTCTAAAGGGCCTACCTTTGTTGAAAAATATTAATTTCTCCCCCCTTTTAGCCATTACTCAAATGGTTCCAGGGGACCTTCTGCTCTATTTGTTCAATTTTAGAACCGCTGTTACTTAATTAAGGAGCTCTGGTGGCGTAGTGCCTAAGGCACTTGACTGCTAACCAGAAGGCTGGCAGTTCAAACCCACTAGCCACTCCTTGGAAGGAAGGTTGGGCAATCTACTTCTGTAGTGATACCGCCTCAGAAACCCAAGGAGGGGTCACTATGAGTCGGGTTCAATTCAATGGCAGTGAGTTTGGTTTGGTTTTACTTAATTAGGAATCCTAGTGGCACAGTGGTTGAAATGCTAGGCTGCTAAGCAGAAGGGTGGTTTGAATCCATCCTTACTCCATGGGAGTAAGATGTGGTAGTCTGTTTCTATAAAGACTTACAGCTTTGGAAACCCTATGACTGCAGTTCTACTCTGTCCAATAGGATTGTTATGAGTCAGAATGGTGTCAACACACTCTGGTATACTTAATTTAAACAGAGTGAGCTTTCAGAGTTTGGTTCATTTCAAACATACCCCGTATTCTTTGTCCACTGAAATGAACACTGGCTAAAAGATACTAATGAATTCAGGTCTTCCCGTCCACCAACAATACCCAGAGCTCCAAGTTCCCTGATGCATGAACATGGGGCCATAACTTCTAAGAAGATTTTAAACAGTTACTTACTAATAGAGTTACAGTCTGTATTACAACCAAATTATCCTTCCCAGGAAAATAAAAGATCCATCAAGATATTCCTGCACTAGATCCTGGATAGAGTGTGGGACAAAACTCACAATCTTAAAAAAGACCAGGGTTATTGGTCTGAGACTAGTGAAACCCCTGAAACCATGGCCCTTATTTACCCTTCAGACCTGGAACTGAACTCACTCTCGTAGCTTCTAGCCAAACAATATACACAGGCATATCAGGTAAACATTTATACCAGGCAGGTACACTCCTTAGAACAATCAATCATGGAAGATCAGAAGGGCGGTATTTGCATAGGGAGATAGCTCAGGGGCCAGGAATGCACAGGAAAGAAGGACACAGGGAAGAGATAACTATAGGGAGGAAGGGGGAAGAGAGCTGTTACATTCTGGAGATTGTAGTCAATGTCATGAAATAAAGTGTGCATGAACTGCTGTATGGAAAAAGAATTTGCTCTTAAACCTTCACCCAAATCACAATAAAAATTAAAAAAAAAAAAAAAAGATATTCCTGCACTAATCCTTATATCACCCCATCTTAGGATCTCAGCAAAATCCCTTACCCCATTTCACAGACAAAATCATTGAATAGTTACACCCTTCTTAAAATCCCAAAGACCAAACCATTAGCAGACTCTAATTCTGGTCTTGAATTCTGGCCTCCCTCCCTGATCTGTCTCCCAGAAAGTATTTTCTAAACCGTGTTCTACAGAACATACCGTATTGATTGATTTACACAGCATTCGCCCATGTGTGGTTCACACATCACTGGTAATTTGGATAAACATTCTGATTTTAATAGTTATACATTTATTGTAATATAATATTAAGAAAAAAATGCATATGTCATACCAAACCAGTGATTCCACAAAGATTACTGCTTTAATTTTAAAGCATTTTAAAAAGGACACAAAGTTTAGAGGACACTGAACTGCGAAGGGTGATGGAAAAATTCAGAAGTAGTTAATGGTGATGGTTGAACAATATGGTGAATATATTCAATGTCACTGAACTGCAGATGTGGCGATTGTTGAAATGGTAGATGTTTTGCTACCTATGTATGTACCACACACATTAAAAAAAAAAAAAGGCGGGGCATGTGGACATGACCAGAAGAGCGAAGGTGGTTGTGGGATGAGTGGCATTTGGGATTTGCGTGGAGCAGTAGGGGGAAGGAATTCCACTCAGACTGTCTCCTTCCCCATGAGGACTGAGCCATAACCCTAGGGCAGTGCCTGTTTTCAACAGCTCCACTTAGCATGTTGAGGAGGGAACATATTTTTAAAGTTTTTTTAAAGGAGGTCAATAAGCTCCTTCACCTCCAGTCTTTGTATGGTGCCTACCATACAAAGATGAGAGGGTTGATTTGTCCACTTGGGGTCCTATCAGTTCTCTATCTACCACAGTAAGCACCAAGTTCTTACCTCTGCCACAGGGCTGTGGACAGGGGAGAAACCAATGGCTTGTTCCTGAGGGGACCGGATAGGGCTGGAGATTTGGGAGGGACCTGAAAAGAATGGATACAGGAATTTACAACAGAAAACCCACCCCATTCAAGCTCAGAAGGCTCCTCTCCCACCCAGCTCCACAGTATACATCACACCAGTCATTTTCAGAGATGGGAGGGAAATCAGAGGTAACTCAGCCCTGTTCCTGGGTCTGCTTCTCATCTTCTTAAGGAAAGAAGAGGTCCTCTCAGAAGGAATTTCTAGAATGTGTTTTCCTAGACCATTTCCATGATTTTTCTTTCTGTTGGTATTCTTGTAGAATCGTGTCAGGAGTGTTAACTTTTTCTCATGTTTGTGATCTCGCCCAAAGCTTTGAGACATACCTTCTAGTCTTTCATATCCCCATGTTAACAAACAAATAAGGGGCTGCAGGCCAAAGTCATGTGTGAGTGCCTGTGACATAGCACATGGAGGAGGTGGAGGGGGGAGCAACGCTGGCCATTTGGCGAGCAGGCACACAGCACTGCAGTCCTGCTTTGGTGGACCTGCATCCTTGGTGTCACACTCATTCTCAGCCAGCTCTCAGCAGGAATTCTGGAAGCCATTTCTCCTGCACTTACCTCTCTCCTGTTGCTTTGGTATGGAGGGTGGCTTCTCCTCCTCATTTTCTGATACCCTCAGCTCCAGCTCTGCCTCCACCTCTTCCTGGCGTCGCAAGCGGAGCTCAGTTTCGGCATCCGATGGGATATCATCGGACCAGTGCTGATCTGGCAGATGGAAGGGAGAGCACAGAATTGGGTGCACACTCGAGTGAGTCCAAGCTCCTTTTTCCGTCTTCTGCCTTCCTCAGGGAACAGCTGTCACAGGCCTCACAACCGCCTGAGGTCTGGACCAGCCTCTGCGATCTCCCCTCTTACTGGGGGCAGACCCTGCCTACTAGTCCACCCAGAGCTTCTGACTTCCTTGCTTCCTTCCCCTGGCCTCAAAGCACATTATCTTCTCCAACATGTGGTCCCACGAAAGCCTGTGGTGCTCCATGTTCTTTTTAGATACAGCAGCAATGACATGTGACAGGCCATGACAAAGAAAAGCACTGGTGTGCCTATGGAGGGTAGGCCCTGCCTCCAAGGAGTCTCTTGACCGTAGGATTCCCTCCCTTCACCATTCCAGTCGCACAACCCCAATACCAAGGTCTATGTTCCCTCACAATTCAGCCCACATTTTTTTTCTTTTTTGCCTAGCCTAGTTCCTGCTCCCTTTTTCCCAACCAACTATAATATCTGAAACACCACCCCTTACATCTAGCTTTCAGAGGGCAACCACTGTAGATTGTAATTGTAAAAGACCCAGTTTAAAGCCCCCAAACCTACTTGGGTTCTCAACCACATTTTAATGAATGAAGCCTAAGTCTAACAGGTGAAACGGCATATACTCCAAGTTAGTGGCAGAGCCAGGAACAAAGTCAGGAGACCTAACAGCTGCTTTTTGTGAGTTCTGTGTTTTTTCTTTATTTGTGCTTTTTTTTTTTTTTCCCCTGAGTCCAGTAGCCCTGTCTCTGCAATGAGGAAGAGGGTGGTCACCATGGTGGAGAGGGGAGGCTCTGGGGTCCCCCATACCATCATCCAGCTCAGCACCAGTGTCCCCTGTGTCCCCATTCTCCGCTGCCTCCCCTTCTATCTCTGCAGGCTCCGAGTCCACATCTTCCTCCAGGTAATGCTCATCAAATGGGACTGCAAAGCAGAAACATTCAAGGAGAGAAAGGAAAGGAAAGACAGACAGGTTGTCTCTACAGGCAGGAAAGAGATTGGTGTTCTCAGGATTGTGATGGGAAGGAGAAGGAAGACACTAAAGGACCCCTAAGGCAGAAGTCAGTCAGGCCTGAGGGGAGCTCTCTAAAAGTAGTGTGGGTGCCGGCAGCCTTCCTGAAGACTCAGACACATTTCTCTACTCTAGAAGGGCCAAGTGGACAAAAAAGGGCAACTTAATGTCTGGTCATCTTTCCTCTCTTCCTCCAGAGGCTGCTGTAGGAGCCTCAGGTCTGAGAACAGAACAGAAGGGCGAGGCCACCTCTCCAGGTCCTGCAGCACTGGCCAGCTGACAATGAAGCATTAACAACTCCCCCAATTATTGAGGCTTATGTGCCAGGTACGGTGTTGACTGCTTCACAGGCCAGGAATCATTCCATTCTCGTAATACGCCACTTAGGCGGGACCACATTTCTACCTCCCACCTTTCAGTGAGAAAGCTGAGGTCTAGAGCCTGTAGGTCATTTGCTCACGGCCATGCCTCTCATCCAGCACTCACGGCCACCTGAGTTTTGTGTATAGGAGACATGCAATGAGTGACCGATGGCACTCCTGAGGGCCCTGTCCCTCTCAGCTGGCACAGGGTGCAGCTGTGCTTGGGAAGCTTTAGAGGAACACTCTTCGAAAGCACAGGGAGGGATGAGGGGATATGTAAAGTTCATGTCCTGGAATCAAAGTTAGCCCTTCAGCCCCGCAAAATGAGGCAACGCTCTAACTGACTTCATTTCTCTTGAGGTGGACCAGCCCCTAAACACACACACACATACACATGCCACTCCCCACCTCCACACACTTAGAACCCACACTAACAGTTCAGAGTAAGAAAAAGTGATTAAGAGAAGGATGCTGTGAAACAGCAGAGTTCCTGGAGAGAAGAGTCCCCATCTGTCAGGAGTACTGGCAGGTACTTGTCATGGGTTTCTTCCAGGGTTCTAAGAGCAGCCACTCTCAAATCAATGCTTAAAGGTGCTCATTTCAGGAGAAGGGGTTAAGCTTTGATCTGCATGTATATAGCCTGTGGCTCACAGCCCACGGTAGGGTGGGTAGCAGAGGGATCGGGTGCTGTATAGTTGGATGGATTTCTTAAAAGCCTGGCTGAAGACAGGAGGGCAGGCCATGTAACAACCTCTCTAAGTACAACCTAAGGAATCTGTACCCCCAGCACCTTAAGGATGTGCAGAATGAGTACAGCAGAAACATGGTAGGAGTTGCAATAAAAATGGAGGAAGTGACTGTCTTTAAGCGTAGGGTGGGGTGGGGAGGAAAGGGATTGATTGGGGAGGGGCATTTCCAAGGTGCTGGTAAGATTTTATTTCTCAACCTAGGTGGTAGCTATATAAGGTTTTGAGTCTTTAATAGCCCCTTATGCTGAGTATTTCTCTTTTATGCACAGCTTATTAATAATAAAATGACAGTTAAATTCTGGTTTTCAGAGAACTATAGGAAATCGGTTTGAAGTAGAATAGAGAGATAGTCTAGGTTATGGGGAAAGAAAGGGCTTTCCAGTAAGTTCTTGGGTGGCAAACAGTTAACATCACATTCTTCCTCTTGAGATATCAGAGCAACTAATGGAGCTGCCGATACCCAGACCCTGTCTCCCATATCTGCTGATGGCATTAGCTGAGAAAAATACTGGGGAAGGAATTACTTGGGTATTTCCGTGGATTTAAAACCTTTGTGGAATAACACAGCTTTTGGTCACTTAGGAAGACTTCATCCAAAACCAGGGAATGGGACTTCTGAGGCTTGATAAGATGAAGTACAAACAAAAACCCCACCAGAAGGCACCCACCTCTTCTGGGCCCCTCCTCAAACCTGAGCTTTACACTTGGACAATGAGTTCATCATTACATGTTACCATTTCTAGGAAGTCCTTCCCTACAATCTTTCTCTTTGGACAGTTACCCTAAGATAAGATGGTAGCCTGAGGAGGGGCATGGTCATCTGGCAGATCCAGGCTCTTAGAAGGCTGAAGGACAATGACCTGATGAAAACAGAACCTAGGCTGTTCCCATGAAGAAGGCCCAGTACCTGACATGTTTGCCTGAATGGGCCTGTGAGTGTCTGGGCACTGATGTGACAATTTCACATTTTTGTTGGCAAGGCAACTGGAAGCCAACCCCAAGCAGATCACTACAGAGGAACTCCCCACTCTGGCTAAGATAAAAAAAAAATAAACAAACAACAAATCCCGAACTCGCTACCATCGAGTCGATTCTGACTCACAGCGACCCTCTTTGGGTTTCCAAGGTGGTAAATCTTTATGGAAGTAGACTGCCCAGTCTTCCTTCCGTGGCATGGCTGGTGGGTTTGAACCGCCAACCTTCTATTTAGTAGTCAAATGCCTTAGGCACTATGCCCTTAGAATTAAATTGATTCCAGCCTTGGTCACCCAGTGCTTGATGTGGTTCTCCTACTGAGGGTTTATACTAAGAAATGCCTGCTGAGGAGTTGCTGCAGAGTTGGAAGGGTAAGAAGTCTACACTCCTTGGAGGTACCTTGAAAGGAATAATTGTCACATATATCAAAAAGCAAACAAGTGAGAATACCGATGCAACAGCAGCCGATGTTGAAAGAGATGCAGCTTAAAGGATGGAAGTGGGGATTAAATTTGGGTTAAGATGGAGTGCAAGGTGCTAGAAGCGGCCACATGAATTGATGAGCCACATACTATGAAAGCCAGGATTTGCTGACATACTTAGCACGTGGTTGATTTCAGCTGCCAGCTGGGTTCTGATCCTAGCTGAAGTACTGCCACCTCAGTTTTATCCAATCATCCTAGAGATACAAATTAACTAGAACAGAGAGACCAGCAGTTTTCATTCCAAGCCGATGGTCTAGGTTAAGTTGAACTACATATTAAATGAGGTTTTCTCTCTCCTCGGAGTTCCTGGGTGGTACAAATGGTTAAGTGCTCAGCTGCTCACTAAAAGGGCGGTGGGTCGAGTCCACCTCGAGGAGCCTCAGAACATGGGCCTGACGATTTACTTATGAAAAGAAAGCCTTATGGCCCACAATTCTACTCTGGCACACAAGGGGTTGCCATGAGTCAAAACTGACTCCACGGCAGCTGTTCCTTATTGCTTTGCTCTCTCCTTAGAGCTCCATGGGAAGGTACCTGTTGACAGAGTGCATGTGCATATTTTACCCACAGCCGGTGAGGATACTGGGCTGGATCGGGAAGAGACTGGTGGTAAAGATCTATGAGTCCAATTCTGTCCATCCCAACTATGAGGACAATGAGGTTCTCAACCAGGGGACTATACTGCCCTTCTTCAAACAATGCTTGATAATGTACCGGGCTATTCTGCGGCTGTCTTAATCATCAGGGTAGGGGTACACAACGCTCTATATACACTTCCAAGGGCAGAGGTCAAGGGTGTTAAATGTCCTGCAATACAAAGAACTGTTCTACCTAAAATGCTAATAATCCTCTTGTTGAGAAAGAAAAATCTATTTTTCCTAGGTTTTTTTTCCTCCAGAAAAACCTAGAAGGATAGAAGGATCACCTATCTCTTGGCCTAAGTACCTACAGTGACACCTGAACCTCAGTCGGAACACATAGCTGATGTCAATCTTGGATAGACCTGCCTGTCTCTCAACCTGAGGCTGGACAATATCCTCTAATCCTCCCCCTGCCCCTCCCCATTTACACTGATGATTCTTCCATAGAACTCTCTGAATTTGGGCTATTTCTTTCTCTGGCACTTTCACAGGAATATCCAATTTCCTTTAATTTCACTTTCCACTGCTATTCAACCTAATTTCTACAGACTTTAAACCTCAATGCTAAAAACATTCCTTCAGCTTTCACCTTTATCTAATTTAAAAAAATAAAAAGAAAAAAAAAGTTCGTCTCTGTCCTATTGGCAACACAGCACTCCCCTGGGTCTTCCCAGGAGGAAACGGATGCAGGTGAGGGGCTGGGGCATGCAATGATGCTGTCTGGGTGAGGCATGCATGTGCCCCCTCCCGCTTGGCTCCACCCGACATGCACTACAAGACCAGCGCTCTAGTGTTAAGGGATCAGCAGAGAGCTGCCAAGAGAAAGAGAGGTTACGGTGAACTGGGAGAGAACAAACATCACCAGACTACCTCCGGAGACTGTCTCCAGCCAGGCCTGCACTGCTGCACGGCGTATGGAGGGAAGGTCAGGCACTGAATTTAAAACAGACGATAAATACAGTTACACAGGAGGATGTGTTTCCACTGAGGAGAGTTGAGGTCATTCCTAAAATCCAAGAGAAACTGAGATGATGTTAAAACACAAAGGCCAGTCCAAGTCCCTGTGAGGGTTAGCAGTCCCACTGTTGGCCTATGGGTGTTCAGGATGTGGAGAGAACAGAGAAAAGACATGTGAGGTCCCCACAGGCTGGGGGCTGCAAAGCCACCCTCATCGAGCAGGTCAGTCTGGTATTCCTGGTCGGCAGCATCTCTCTCTCTCTCTAATTTCGTCATGGGTGCTGCATGTTTATACTGCAGCAAAAGGAGTTAACAAAGGTTGTTCTTGCCTGTAGGTGGAGACTTGGGGCTGGGTAGGATCAAATGTCCTGATTCTTTACCTCACAAAGGCAGGGATCACTTTTGTATACTCAGCACCTTGCAGGGTGTGTGGATACATGAAGGTATACACGCATGAGAGGAGGAGGTTGATACTAAGCATCTGTGTTTGGAAGATGGGTGCATAGGGGAGAAGAAGGACAGAGAAACAAGATGAAGCCACCACTTCCCTCAACAGTCTTCACTTTTCCCTTTTATTTCTATTCCTTAAAAGAAGCTAGAATAAGGAAGGTGTTCATCCTACTGTTGAAAACACATCACATAACTTAAAATGTAGAGTTGGAAATTATGCTAGTTACTTCCGAGGTCTCCTGATACATATCTCTTCCTAAAACCTCCTTCCAGCTCAACACATGCTCCCCATAAACCATCCTACCAATGCACATTCACACCCAGACATGCTCTATGAGGAAAGCACCAGGAAATTTTACAAAGTGGGGAAAGAGCAGCCCGGCCTGGAAAGATGGGATGGTGGCATGGGGGTGGAGAGCGGCAAGCAAACTCTTGGTTTTCCAAAGGTCAGGTTCATTTCACTATTTTGCATCATTGGAGACAGAGTTAAGAACCACTGAATCCACAGGGTACTTTACATATCCTCACACAAGAGTCAAGGGCATGTGTCCTAATTAACATCAGGAAAGCAACGTGCTGTGCTGGCTCTTACTTTTGAGCCAACCAGTGGCTTTGGCCCTGGCAGGAAAGGCCTCTGCAGCAGTAAGAGGGGGAACAGGGGGAGAAGGTGCTCAGAGGAGCACGGGGACCTGGGATCCTGGAGCAGTTACCTCTAGAAGTAGAGGACTCAGAGGTCGGGACCATTTGCTCCTCCACCTCTTTCTCACGAATGTGTGTCCAGTGCACATCAGCCTGGATCTCCAAGGGATCCGCGGGATTTATGATCTGCTGTAGCCTCTGGTTCCCAGCTGGTGTACCAGGTGCAAGGCGTGGAGGGAGGAGATGAGGGAGAGGAAGGAAGGTGGAAATAAACAGTCAAGGGGAGGAGAGGACGAAACACCACAGGAAAGGAAACAGAAAGAGAAGTTACAGTATTTTCTAGGATCAGTTTGAATCAGAAAGAGACAAAAACTGAGAAGGTGCCCACATTCACGCACATAAATGGCTTCTACTCATTTGAGCTGATTGAGTCATTCCGAGCTTCATGTGTACTGTTAGTTCCAGTGAACAGGACCACATGTTCCGACTCCAGTGCAGAAAGAACGCTCCCTTCTGATGCTCTTTTCATCTCAAACTGCATTTAAGGGCCCAAACTGCCAATTTGCAAAAAAAGAGCAGAACACAATAGGCCTCTGAAGGGCCACCTCTCCAGGGTCCTCAAGTCCTCAGCTCTATCACCCAGTACAGTGCAGGACCCAAGGATGTACCACTCACACCCCTCCTGTTGGTCACATGACACAGTGCTTACACCACCTGCCATGCTGATGGCCTCTCTTTTGAGATTTGAGCCAAGTGATGAGAAAGAGCTGCGATGGGACAGTGTCATTCTGCCACACACCAGCCAACTCACACAAGTGTTCTTTGTCAGTATCTTAGTTTTGTACTTGTGCAGCTAGAGCTGCTGTTAGAACAAATGTCCCTTCCCATGATAGGCCTCATGCTGCATGCTGGGTCTGTGACAGGGATACAGATTGGAGGAGAGGATGGAGTCAGGGAAGGCGAAGGCTGGGAGAGGAAGCACAGCTCTGTCATGTACATTCCCAAAACTTAGGAGTTCCTAGGTGGGAATGAGCCAACACTTCTCTGCTTTCCTGAGGTCAAAGCCCTTTTCCTTAAAACTATGTTGGTGCCCTACAGATTCCCTCTTGGGACAAAATCTGTTTTCTCAGCTAAACAAAGCTCATCAGCAGCCCCTTCTGATTATTCTTGCTGTCAGAGCCCAAGGGGTCCAGATGCAGCCCATGCCCTGTGGGCTCCCTATAATAAGTGCTCAGATCATGCCATAGAGTTGAGTTAAAATAAAGGGAGAGCCAGCTGCTTGCAAAGGGCACCAGGAAAGGGAGGGTGGCTTTTCAGGGAGCAAGAGCAGGTACCACCTGATTTGAAGATCTCTGGGGTTCCCAAGCAGAGCAAGCTTTCACCCGGGAATGCATGCCAGCCCTTAACAACATGACTGAGTAATCTGGCTTTGGCCTCAATCTCCATAACAGCATCCTCTTAATTTTCAAGTGACAGGGAATGTGATATGGACAGAAGGTACCAATAAGATAGCCAAACTTGGGTGCTGACACTAGGCTTTTATGTATGGGGTTGCAGCCTCTCATTTACTCCCTATCGGAGCTGCTCTTTCTATAGATGTGTGGACTTTTTCTAAGGTCAACTTGCCTTTATGCTGCTGTATCAGGCTGAACCACAGCTAAGTTACCAAACAGCCTGACCATTAAGATGGGACTGAGGAAGGTAAATAAAAGAGAAAAATGTATCACTTGTATCCTCTAAGCAACAAAGGGAAAAGAGTTATTCTTCCCCTGGGTAATATGCTGCTTTCTGTTAGTAGGTGTAGCCATGTGGATTTATGATCAGTAGGAAGCCAGTAGCTCCCTCTTTCTCAGAGAAAGGTTAAAAGGGCACAGTAGGGGAGGCACTGGGCATTTGTGGTGGTGGTAGAAGGGGCTCTGCCACTTTCAGGGCTGTGGCCTTGATGTGAGGAGTTCTGGACTAGAGAAGAAGCTGGGTCTCGACTGGATGAGGGGAACTAGCAGCGAAACACACAAGGGGGCCAGGTGGGACCACATTCAGTAAGGCTGTTTCTGGAATCTTCTCTGACTTCCTCTGAAATCTCTTTTGACTCACACGCTACTTTGTACACGACTGTCCAGGAAGGCTGGGTCCAAGGACAGGAGCCTCACTAGGTATGTGCCAATGCCTGTCAGCACAGCTCTATAAAACAGGTATTTTCATGTGGGACCTGCTCTTGGAGGCAAATTTTGGATGGCCATTAGGGAGTCAGTGTAGAAGGCGGGCAAGGGGGCAAAGCGGGTACCTTTACATGTACCCGTATCTTCTTCCTTTGAGAGATGTTGGAGCCACTGGCCTTGCAGGAGTTCTCTGTCCCAGGGGCAATACTCCCCTTCTACAGCAGGGGGAGCCAGACATCCACAAACACAGCATCAAGACCCCCACATGGGGGTAAAGAGAGAGAAAGGGGATGGAGGGGAAGAAAGAGAATAGAAAGAAGAGTTATCTTTAGCTGCAAGGCAGTGACGTCCTGTCACTGTCGATAGAGGCACAGAAGTCCACTGTCTAAAAGAAACACACTACAAGCTAGGAACAAAGGCCCACATCCGGGAACTTCCAGAGTTTAGATGAATCTGTTGGAATGTATTTCCCTAGTTAAAGCTTGTTCTCTGCAGGTTTGGTCTGGACATTAGTTTCAGATCCAGGAAATAAAATCTGGATGGGGGAAAAGTGGGGCTAAACTCTCCTGAAAAGGGACCAGGCTTTGACCCCAAGCTTTGCTTGGAGCTAAAAGCCACACAGAGCATATTAATCATCAGATGAAGATAATGATGTCTGGGATGATGTAAACAAAATACCTTTCCCCTGGATGAGCAGAGAATGTGCTCATGCCCTTTAACTAACTGGGACATACGGTGGTTCTGGGCTGTGTAAGCGCAGCAGGATGGAGAGAAGAACCCAAGGCTCCAGCTTCCCAGTCCCGCGCCCACCCCCTTCCAGACCTTACTCTTTTCCCATCAACAGTGTGCGGACAGGTTGCTGAGTGCTGACCTGGGGGTCTTCCAGTCTCTGCCTTGGGAGAGAAGAGCACTAGAGAATGAGGGAGCTGGAGGAAGTGCCTGATTGATACTTGGTACTTAAGGCCAAGAACCTCAGGGTCAGATGAAAGGGTGTTCTTTTCTCACCCCTGTGGCCTCAGTGAGGTCGGCGTCTAGGCAGCCTTCCTGTCCAGAGCTACATAGCTCTCTGAGGATGGGTTCAGTAACATGAGCCACTTCAGTGAAGGACTCTGTGTCTGGTGTACTCTTGGTCCTTGCTGTGCCAGAGAAAACAGACCCTGCAATGGCACTATGCAGCCGAGCCCATCAAATTCCAGGCAAACCAGAGATAAGCCTGAAGAGCAGCAGAGCAGCCTGGTGGCAATTCCACAAGGCCCGGGGCCATCCAGAATCTAATCTGCTCCTCTAACACCAGGGCGACTGTGCACAAAAGGCCCCATCCATCTCTTCCCCTCCTTGCACCTTTGGAGCGTAAGCAGACCAGGATTTGACAGGGTGGTGTCCTCTGGGGAATTTAGGCCTCTACCTGACCTGGTTACCTCATGACCACCCACCAGACCTCTGTGCAGCCAGGAGAGGGAGAGAACGGCCCTCTCTTTTCACAGATGGGAAAAGGAGGCCCAACAAAGTTATTCCTCATCACTCAAGGTCACAGTGAGCCAGGAGTAAGGACAGAACTGAAAAATTCTGAGTCTAAGGCAAGAAACTATTCTAGAGCAAACCAGACTGACTTAACATATGTGCTATGATGCTTCCTCTCAGGAAATTGGCTCCAAGATGTTACTCTGCATATCATCAACTTGGCCAATGGGCAACTACGCTCATAGCCTCTCTTGCCAGTGATGGTAACTCTGAGCTAAAAGGAGATTGAATGCTCTCACCCTGCAGTGATTCTTCTAAAAAGCTAACTTCCTTTTGTTTATTAAAATAAGTTTCTTTAAAATGGAAGGGAAAACAGAAGATGAGGAGACAAGCATGAGTAACCTAATTTGGATGAAGTCCTTGCACTGGCCCTGTTTTCCACTTCTGGTTTCAAGTGAGCACGTGCACAGGACATTACTCCCATGTTGATGGTTAGCTAGATACCACGGTGTCCTCTCCTCTGCCCCCTAAGTCTAAGGCAGAGAAAGCCCCTCATTCTGAGGCAGAAGGATTGTCCCTGGGTCTCTGTGGGAGGCATGTTCATGTGACTGCAGCCAAACACACTTCTTATGCTCAGTCATGAACCAGACCACTTCAAGGAGGATATGCTAGTTAAATTTGTATGTCAGCTTGGCTAAATGATCTGGTTGAGTGGCTGGGCAGCTGGTGGCAGTTATTCCCCATGATGAGACTGGCAACTAACTCCATGGTGGAATCTACCACAATCAGCTGAGTAGCTGCCTTTGGGATGTGGTCTCGTCCTGTATATAAGGAGAAGCCTTGGGGATAGTCTCTAGTTTAGGGCACGCTTGGACCCTGCATGTAGCCATGTTGTTGTTCAGCAGCCTGCCATGCTCTGCCGACCTTGGGACTTAAAATGGACTTGAATTAATGGCCTGCCATGTGGTTTGGTAACATCAGGACTGTACCATTTTATTTGTCAACCTTGGACTTGTTAGCCTCAGAAGCCAGTAGCTGCCTGAGTAAAGAGATGCCTCTAGCTTCAGTGGGCTGGGAGTAAGAGGCAGAGCTGAAGCCCAAGGTCGAGGGGCTTTCACACAGCCCCTAGAGCCTGGCACTATGAACTTGGACTTAAAGTGTCCAAACTGAGAGAGAATAAACTCCTGTTTGTTAAGGCCATCCCATTTGTGGTATATTCCTGTCAGAGCGGCACCGGGTAACCAGAATAGAGGGGCAGGGACAGGATAGGAGATTTTTTCCTCACCTTCACTCGACTCTTCCTCCTCCTCGTCATATTCCTCCTCCTCCTCTTCATATTCCTCCTCTTCCTCCTCCTCATTCGCGGGCTCATAGTTTTTCGAAGCCTCTAGTTCCTCTTCACTCTTTCCTTTCAGAAGAGCGTGGATCCTCACAGCCTCCTTCCAAGGGACACCACCCAGGTCAGAGGTAGGCAGCTGGGGCTCCTCCTCCTCCTCCTCCTCATCCTCTTCCTCCATCTCAGACTCAGAACTGCTGCAAAGAAGTAACAATAACCACCAAAGTGAGAGAATGACAGAAAACAGAGAAGGGGATGGTTAAAAGCCACAACCAGCCTAAGTGCCTGCTGAGGAGAAAGGGAGAGAGGACACCACAAGGGGGCTAGCACCCTTCCCTAACACAGGAAAAAACAGGGAGGGAGAGTGAGCAGAAGGTAGCAGACATTCTGCAGAAAGATGAAACCCACATGTATGAGTGAACACAGAAAAGCCAGTTGTCGTGAGTCAACCCAACTCAAGGCAACCCAGTGGCTGTCAGAATAGAACTGTGATCCACAGGGTTTTCAATGGTGATTTCTCAGAAGCGGACCCCCAGGCCTTTCTTCTGAGGCCCCTCTGTAAACCTACACAGATAAGCAGCCCAGTCTGGTGGAGAGTTTCTGTTCAGTAAACTTTGTGATCACTGAGTTAAGTTTTGTGCAGGCTTCAGAGGGCAGTGGACTTGTTGTGAGATAAACTCATAATCCTGGGAATCAAGAATGAAGAGTCCTCCTTCATGATAAATGAGTTTGGTTTGAGGAACTCAATTCTATAGCACGCAGGTTAGATCAGAAGCTTCTCCTCAGAACCATGGATGTGGTGGGGAAGGAGATGAAGGGACCGAGAGATTCAATTTCATGGTGTTCCTGGAGCCCCCACTATATGCCAACCCTGAGCTAGATGCTGGGGGACACACACATAGGTAAAGTGGTAGCAAAGACACCATTCACTGCAGTGACCATGTGGGGACTATGGGAAAAGGCTGGGAATAAGTTTCCCACCTCTGGGCCACCCCTCTTGACAACTAGCTGCATCTCCATGCTGTTCCCTGCATAGCACATTCATCTAGCTCAACCAGACCCTGTATGAGAAGACACTTGTCATGACTTATGCAAACTAAAATCATTGGCCCCTACCTTCCAAGATCCCATCCCGGGGCATTTTTCTCCATCCATTGCCTTCGCACAAAGAAACAGTACGAGAGCCAGTAAGTACATGATGAAAAAAAAAGGTATACACAGCTCCTGACAACTCTGAGGGGCTCCAGGGCATGAGAACAAGCCCAAACTTTACTGCATGAAGGGAGAAGTTCTCAGACCTGTTTCCTGATCTGATGATTCTCAAAGTCTGTCTTAGGTGTGGCTTTGAACTGCAGATGAACACAACCCTCCATGAGGAACTGGGACTGGAGTTTGACTGGGCTGGAGGAAGCCTGCTTTCACAATGAAGGCAAAGATGGAAATCCAGGCCACTAAGCATCAGGCACAGGAGGGCATCAGTCCTGACTCGCTGTGATGGGGGTGGGGGGCTCTCTCCACCCAGAACAGGGCTGTTCACAACCCACTGGTGTGGGTGTGAGTGAGCTGTGAAACCCTGTGATGAGGGTATGAGGCCCCACTTAGACCTATTAGAGCCACGTCAGTTAGTTTTACGACAGCCCAAGCACCACGGGATCGTGGCAAGTGAGGCAGGAGAAGAAAAAGCACAGTAGAAAGGTCAACCCTCGCCTCCTCATTAGCTACACACTCAATCCACTTCCAAGAAGCCTTGATACTTGGTTCTAGAGATTTGAGACAGGCACACCTGCCTCTCTCTCTGTGAAGGGCAGAGAGAAATCCAACAGGAGTTGCCAACTCTCCCTTTTCCAGGCCTTTGTTTCTACAGGACTTTGGAGCAGCCCAGGCAGTACACGATCCCTTAAGTCATGTGTGACTCGCAGCATAGATTCCATATCTTAAAGCTCATCTTATGCTCCCTGCCAGCACTTCAGGGTCTGGCCTCTGATGAGGCTGAAGGAAGGATGAATGGAGGAAGCACTGTACTCCAGTAGACCCCTTGAATTATAGTCTGGAAACTTTTCAACTGGGGAGAATCATTATGCAGAAAAAATGCATTATACAAAACTGTGGTATTTGAGGTTGTATGTCAACTTGGCTGGGCCTGGTTGAGTGGCTGGGCAGCTGGATGTATTTATTCCTCATGGTGAGATTGGTAATTAACTCCATGGTGGAATCTACTGGAGCAGCTGAGTAGCTGCTTTAGGGATGTGGGCTGCTTCCAGTACATAAGATGAAACTTTAAGGAAGGTCTCCAGCTATTTTGCACACTTGGACCCTGCATGCAGCCAAGTTGTTGTTCAGCAGCCTGCTATTCCCTGCCAATCTTGGGACTTCTTCTGGATTTGAATTAATGGCCTGTGTTGTCTGTTAACATTGGGATTGTGGCTTTGTATTTGTCAACACTGGGTTTGTCAGCCTCAGCAGCCAGGAGCTGTCTGAGTGAAGAAAAGCCTCCAGCGTCAGTGGGCCAGGAGCAGGAGGCAGCACTGAAGCTCAAGGTCGAGGGGCTTTCACCCAGCCCCTAGAGCCTGGCACTTTGAACTTGGACTTAAAGCCTCCAAAACTGTAAGAGAATAAACTCTTGTTTGTTAAAGCCATCTCATTTGTCATATATTCTTGTCATAGTAGCACTAGGTAACCAAAACAAAAACCAACTTCTCCTTCCCTTTGGAAAGAAAGGGGGACTTCTCAGATTGAGAAATTGCTCAAAAAAGCCTATGATACAAAGTCCTAGGAGACATGGGGCCACAAAATCTAGTTATCAAGATCACCTTTCCTCCTCGAATCTATTGCCTAGAAATAATCTTTAAACTTTGAATCAAAACTATCCCATGAAGCCATCATTCAACTAAACAACAGTTCAACTCAATTAAGAATGTCTGCCTTGAGCATTACACTCTTACAAGGAAGCACCTACTATGAGACTTCAAATTGACAACAGTTAATCTAATGGACAGATGGAAACTTTAAGGGGCAGACTCAAAACCCATTGCAATTGAGTGGATTCTGACTCACAGTGACCCTATAGGACACAGCAGAATTGCCCTATAGGGTTTCCAAGGCTGTAAATCTTTATGGAAGCAGACTGCCTCATCTTTATCCTGTGGAGCAGCTAGTGGGCTAGAACTGCTGACTTTTCAGTTAGTGGCCATGCGCTTAACCTCTGTGCCACCAAGGCTCCTTAAGGGGCAGAGAGTCTAAATTAAGGCGATGAACCACTATGAGTAGAGACAGTAGAGACACAATGTGAGGTATGCAACCAATGTCACTGAATTGTACATGTAGAAATTATGAATGGATGTTTGGTTGTGTATATTGTCACCAAAAAAAAAAAATAATAAATAATAATAATAATAATCACTTTTCATTCACAGCATGTATCTGTTTTTGCATTTGAAGCAGTATGTCCTTCTGGTATGATTATGTGATTCAGGCCCACCCGTCCCTGGGCTGTACTCTCTCCCAGAGCGGGCTAGGGCTGCTTCACATGCTGTAGTACTTGTCACAGTGCCTAATACAGCAAGATGGGCATGAATGAACCAGTGACCCCAACCCAGGAAGGCTTAGGCAGGCTACTGCCTGATTTCAGAGTGTCATGGATGACACTGCCAAAGCTCCTTGGTACACATGGTCATTATGTGTTGGAACCAATTCAATGGTACCTAACAAGTTTTCTCTTACTGATTCTTCAACATTGCCAGAAAGAGGGTTGAGTTGATTTGGTTCTTTTTCTTTTTCCAGCCTATAAGAATGTTTCTTCTAGGTGGCCATGGAAGGCAATCCAGTGACTGTGGAGGACGTGCTTGACTTCCAAGTCGGCACAGGGGAGGAGTTCCAGTAAGAGGGCAGAAAGACTGTACTGCACAGACTCTCTTCAACAAAGAAAAGGGAACCAATTAATACAGATACAGAAGATAATCCTGGACCCCTGAGCCTAGAAGGCAAGGATATAGAAGTGGACTAAACTCCAACTAGCAGAAGAATTTGCATGAAAACACCAAAAAAGGAGACATACGAAGCAGCAGTCTGGCAGCAATCCTGACGGCACAGACAGCTTGGATTGCCAAGTGGTGGTAGGACCTAAGAATTAACCTTTAAATCAGCCCTGCTAGTCAGGGACTGCACAGAGGTCTGCTCTGGTGGCTGGGGAATAAAAGGGGAAGCAGTGAAGAAGAAGGTGAGCTGAGCTGTGGACTTTTGTCTGTCCAGAGGGTGCAGTCATTTTGAATGTTTACAAGTGGCTTGACCATGTTGGATATTTAAAGTGACAGCTTTCTCCCAGATTCCAGGAACTTAAGAACAGGCTCCACTTGCCAGGAACCCCAAAGACATTCCAGACCCAGATGACTGGAAAGGTGCGACATTCACTCACTCCCACCCACATTCTGGGCCGGTAGGAATTCTATCCCAGTCTATATGCTCTAACGGAGCCTGGGTGCTCTGCCCCACCCTGCCCCAATTTTTTTTTCCCTGTTTTTTTAGTTTGTTTGTTTTTGTCTGTTTTAAAACTACTATTATTATTATTACTTTTGTCCTTTTTACTATTATTCCTTATTCTTCCCCTCCCAGGTTCTAGTTTTTAGCTTTTTTTCTTTTCCCTGTTTCTGGTTGCAATTTTTTCTTTCCCATGGTTAACCCCATCCCTTGTTTTTCTTTTTGCGTTTTTCCCATTTTTCTTCATTATTGTCCTTCTCTACCTTTTTTCTCTTATTTCCCTCTCGCCAGATATAGCAGGTTCCCCCCTCTGCCTTTTCCCTTTTTTCGGTTACTGTTCCTGTGTGACTACATGGTATTTTTTTGTCTGTTTGCTTTTACTTTTTTGATGGTTATTCAAGTGTTATTTTTTTCTAACTAAGTGGAAGACAGCAGCAGTCACCATACGACATAACTACACCCACACGTCTGCAGCTTCACTTACTGAGTGAGAGCCACCACTTCCTTCTCCACCAACGGGCCAATGAAAAACCACCAAGAAGAGCCTGACTCACCCTTGGCTTCTCTTCACAAACAGTTAACAGAGATATAAATCCAACAATGCCACGATGTTTCAGAGAAAAAAGACGGTCACAGTCAATATGAAGAAGTAACATAAAGTGGTAGAAACAAGGGAGCAGGATACAGACCCAGAACACATCCCTGAAGAAGCAGCAGCATTGGA